GTACAGTAACGCCGAGAACGACGGCGACCAGTATGACGCATATTGTTCCATAGGCAGCGTTTCCGGAACGTCCGCTTGAATCTCAAATAGATCAAACGTTCTCTCTTTTACCATCGAAGCATTTTCAAAATTAACAAATATAGAAAATTCCCCTGAAGTCCATCTGCAAACGACTGGTAGGTATAAAATTATAAACTTGATACAACTGGCCAAAAGCGAAGTAAAACTACAAGGTTGAAAACTGCACTTAGGTCTCTAAAAAATGGTGTCAAGTGTATTGTTCTGCCACCGGTATTATGTAACAACAGAAACGATTAAATCGAGTGCCCAATGGAGGAGCAGAATAGAAATGAAACCTGTAAAAAATGAGGCCGGCACCATCAGACCATTGCCTTTTAAACTTTATTAACCTCAAAAATCGTTATTATAAGAATGTACGTAATACATCAGACCGTCGTTTAGCCTTAAGCTTATCTACTCTGAAATTTAGACATAACATGAATAACCCTGTCTCACTGACTTCTGTATAACACGGATCAGTTACATAACAAAATGTTTGATCCCCAAAAAATTATGAATAAATCCTCAGAGTCAGCATGAGAATATAATTTTATAGCCCAACGGTTATTAAATCAGTTCCGAATTACGCTAAATATATAAAAATTAATAGACAACGAGCGAAGACAAAACAGTACGGCATGAACAAGAAAAAACCAAAGAAAGTCATGGCTGAAACAAAGCAGAGAGCTATAAATATGTAAAACGAAGCCAGAAGGAAAAATCTACCACTTAGCAAAAGAAAGAGAAAGAAAACCAAGAGACAGCGGAAAACTGCTGCATAGAAACAACGGGGCTGATGGACAAGAATAATATCCGCCGTCGATGGAGAACATGATTCCAAACGAGGAACATCACAGAGAATTCAGAAGAGATGCCATGAGATCAGTCAAAAATACAACTCACTAAATGAAATAAAGCCTTCAGTCAAAAAGCCCCAGCCTCAAAGAAGAATGGAAAATGCACCATAGAAGTAAGGAAAACGCTTAGGCAAAAAAGTAGTTCTATGGCAGAATTCAATGTTCAGAAAATCATACAATGAGAAAAGCTGCCAAATCAAAAAAAATCAGAGAAAAAACATTTAAGTGGACTGTTTGGTTCCTGCGTTGATAGTCATATCGAAAAACAGCACAGAAACGGAAATATGAAGGTCTATTAAATGATACACTGAAACTGATATGTCAGCCAGTATTCAGCGCGTAAAATCAGAAGACGGGTGTTTGCTCGAACCATCTGCAGCAGGTCGTCTATTTTAAGTGAATAACGACTTGTGTCTAAGACGGATTAAAAGGTCTGAATAAGCTTGACGAATGACATAAGACAAAAAATTGAGAAACCACAATTCTTCGTGCTAATTCAATGGTCAAGTCTTAGGAATTGTCCTGTAATCCTGTAATAATGAAACCTAAACTTGAACATCCATTACCAGTCTCATCTGAAAAGAAGACAGTATTACCTTTCGAAGTATGCTCCTACTATTATAACAATGCTGAAGCAAATCATGCAGTTCCACGTTCACGAGCTGTAATAATTTAAAACATAGCACGGTTTTGTTACATTTGCTTGTTATATACAGTTCTTTTTCCAAGCATGTTCCCTTTAACAAGGATTCGCTGTTCGAGTCAACCTCCTCCATATCTTTCTTTTGTTCGTTAGATCTTCAGAGATTTCTCACAGTTTCTCATCGTTCCCGGTATTATCAGTACTTTGGCCACATTTCAACGTACTCGATGTGTCTTCTTTTGATGTAACCGAACCAACGGAGCCTGCTTTCAACAAGTTTTGCTGAAATTGCTGCTAGTCCTAGAATGCTTCTCATGGAGCTGCTTCGGATATTTCTGCTAACACCACACATCCATCTGAGCATTCGCATTTCTACCGAATTTAGCTATATATATATATATATTTAGCTATATATAT